AACTCCTTGTACAGATAAATAATGTGTTTCATTTTAATGGTATTATATACGACTAAGACAGGGGCTGACATGTACATTGATGTATTTCTCAGATGTCACACATTGACTTGATATTCATGCTTTGCCATAGAGTGGTACGAATGGTAAACATGTTTGGCTGCTTACTGGAAGCCTGGAGCCTGAAGGGCACACAGAATCATCAGAAGAAAGGGCTACAGATCTACATGAGAAATAGAATCCATAAAATTGCCTTGGAGCACAATTCTGATATGACACACATGGGGTTTTTGTCAGTTGCAATTGATGTAAAGGCAAGTGCTTTGCCTTTCAATATACTACTTCCTCTTCTTGAGGCATGTTTTGCTTAATATGCCATGTAACAAATTCTCTGAAATACAGCCCAAACCAACTCTCATTTCCAGAAATCCCCAGTCCAAATTCTTCTACAAGGCTTTTCATGATCAATTAGAAATTATCTGCAAAACTTCCAGTCTTGCAGATAATTAACTTTCTTGCAAAAATCTCTTACTTCCTATGTTCCTTGTTCTTTATATACATTATTCACCTCCAAGGTCATTTATCCTCTATTTTATTACGTACTGTCCTGAATATAATAGACATTAAATAAGTGTTTTATAAAGGAGGTAATGCAGTTACAAAGAACTTTTTAATCTTTAAAACTTGAAAATGGAAATAAAAAAGGACTAGATGTAGTCTTTATTTGCCTTCTTATCCATTTTTGGTTGCTTGTTTCCATAACAGCTGTTGAAGAGTATGGGAAGGAGAAATGACAGCTCCCTGCAGGCCTTCATCCTGGTGGGTTTCTCGGATCGTCCTGGACTGGAGAGAATTCTCTTTGCTTTTATTTTGGTCTTCTACATTCTGACACTGGTCGGCAACACTGCCATTATCCTCTTGTCAATCACGGATGCCAGGCTCCACACACCCATGTACTTTTTTCTTGGCAATCTCTCTTTCTTGGACCTCTGCTTCACGACCAGCATTGTCCCCCAGCTATTGTGGAACCTTTGGGGTCCAGAGAAGACTATCACCTACCATGGTTGTGTGGCTCAGCTCTACATCTACATGATTTTGGGCTCAACTGAGTGTGTCCTCCTGGCTGTCATGTCATATGACCGTTATGTGGCTGTCTGCCGGCCCCTGCATTACACAGTAGTCATGCACCCACGCCTCTGCCTGCAGCTGGTGACTGTGGCCTGGCTCTGTGGTTTTCTAAATTCCTTTGTCATGTGCCCCCAGACAATGCAACTCTCCAGGTGTGGGCGCCTTCGGGTGGACCATTTTCTGTGTGAGATGCCTGCTCTGATTGCCATGGCCTGTGAAGACACCATGTTGGTGGAAGCTTTTGCCTTCGCTCTGGGTGTTGCTCTCTTGCTGGTCCCTCTCTCACTGATCCTCATCTCCTATGGCATGATTGCTGCAGCTGTGCTAAGGATCAAGTCAGCAGCCGGGCGCAAAAAGGCTTTCAACACCTGTTCTTCTCACCTAACAGTAGTTTCACTCTTCTATGGCACCATCATCTACATGTACTTGCAGCCAGCGAACAGCTACTCTCAAGATCAGGGCAAGTTTCTCACCCTCTTTTACACCATTGTCACACCTAGCATCAACCCCCTCATTTATACTCTGAGGAACAAGGATGTGAAGGGGGCTATGAAAAAGCTTCTGGGGAAGAAGTGAGGGCTGGAGGAGCCTAAAGGGAGAGGACCATGGAGTACAGATGACGTGCCAGTTACTTTCTTAGCTCTACAACCAGGTGGAGAACTAAAATTCAAAGTGTGGACTGACAGCATCTATAAGTGGATAGACAGTCATGCTGAACAGGATTGGGAAGGTGCCTGGGACTACATTCACAAATGTATACAGGTCTGAGAGAACGTTTTTACAAATGCATTAATCTGTGCTTCAGATATATGCATGGGTGTACTACATAAGCAGGGGGGATTACGATGATTTCTTAGCTATAACCAAACACAATGAAGAAATGAGTCCCTGAGTCTTGAGGCTCAAGACAGCAGTTTCAGGGGATGTCGAGGTTTATTGGCAAAACGTAGCCCACAAAGAAAATGTTCTATATTTTACTTTGATGAGTAGCAACGGCAGTCTTAAAAGCTTATGATAATTCATCTAAGGTGCAACTATTGGTCTATCCCATTTGAAGTAAAGATGAGTGAAGCAAATCAAAAAGTCCAAAACACTCCTAGACTGTCCAACCCCATCTCCACAACACTGAGACCAGTCAGAACATAGTGCCTGCCCACCACTGCTGACTGTTCTGAAAAGAGTCACAATAGGAAATCCTGGATAGAATGGAAGAAAAATGTGAGACAGAATCCCAAATCATGAAAACTGCTAGGTTTACTGATGTGTTGGGACTGGTGGAACCCCTGAGACAATGGACTTAGTAACCCTTCAAATCGGGAAATGAACTCACCCTCATGGCTCAGGGTTCAATCTGAATGATCAAGCTACTATTGCCAGTTTGGTCCGATGTACACAGTCCTTCAAAATATCACAATATTCAAAGCAAATATTCTTTCTAAATATGCTAATTTGTTCTTTGGTTTAAATAAGACTTTAGGACTTTTTGTTTGTTTGTTTGTTTAGGGTTTACCTCAGGTAATAGTTTTGAAAGTTTATTCAGCTTCCATAGCTCCAGAAAGTCTGAATTCAATGATTTTGGAATTCTGTTTTACATCCTCCCCACTCCCCAATTTGCGTAGGCAATTCGCTATGCATTAATTTATCCTTCCTGTTTATAACTCTTCTTCTTATGTTGCTCCCGGTTACAGCGATCATGGGTAAGAGCAGAACAGAAGCATTGCACATGGTACTAGACCAATGAACTGAGACCCAAGAAGCCATCATAATTGTAAACCTTTAAACCAAGAAGCCCAATCCCATCAGGGGTTTGGTTACACAAAAAAGGCTTTGTCAGCTGATTTGTTGTTGTTATAATAAAAAAAATAAGATGAGACACCATTTGTTAATCCAACTTTCTACAGGTATACAACTTATTGGTATCAATTACATGAATCACTTGGGCTGCCATTACACTTAACCAATATCAATTTTCCATCATCATAAACAAAACAGTGAATCACAAGCAACAACCCCCTCTTTTTCTCTCTTTATGGACCCTGGTAAACACTAAAAAACTTTGGTCTCTATACATTTGCATTCTTTTTTATGTATATAAGTGATGTTATACAATATTTGTCCTTTTGTGAAATACAAGAGACTATTTCCTTGGCCTTTGTCCCTTCATGGTGAGACTTTGTCCTGGTAGTAGCCTTTCCTCCATATTCTCTTCCCCCCTCGCCCCACCCCTCTTAGTTCAGCATTCAGAAGACAGATTTGCTTCCTTCTGTTCTGTATTATTGGGAGGTCTTGAAAGTACTACCTGTCCTAAGGTAAAATGCTGTTTCAGCTTGAACATACGACACGAAGAGAAATGTTACTCTAGGCAGGAGGATCAGTTATTGGAGTTGTAGGGTAGATTGGGCAATGTGATCCACTGTTTGTTATTGAGACATCGCTGGGATTATTGCTCTCTTGAAGCTGTCATTAGCTCCTGGATATGAGTAGGTCCAATATCCAATAAACATTGAAGAACAAAGTCAACATCCTCAGGCAAAAATAAGTGAGGTTGGATGTGAGCAGGGTGGGGGAGAATGGACACAATGCTGTGTTTTGTAAATGGTGATAATTTTGTTAATATAAATCTCCAGAATGCTTCATTACAAAACTCTATAACAGACTGATTCCAAAACTGACATTTTTCATAAAGGTGATTAGTATTACTGAGATATTCTAGATGACAATTATTTATCACTCACAATTATGAGTATTTAATTAAAAATAGCAGTTAGAAAAATTAAACAATGCATACCACGGTACTTTAATAAACTCTTTACATATTTTATCTGATCTTTTACAATAAAATCTGAGAGTTATAAACTGTTAATATTCTACAGAAAAGGAAAAGGAGTCTAACAGGTTATATTACAGAGGATAAATTTCTCTGGCTGGACTTCGTATTGAATTTGTCAGAATATTCTGAATCATATCCCAGGGACTGAAGTCTAAAAGCATGAGATTGGAAAAGGATAGGAATAGGTGAGTGAACCATAAGGGTGCCCCTTGATAGAATCCTTCATGACTTAATGCAATTTATTATTTTGTCTCAGAGTAAAACTTGTTATTCCCTTAATTTTTGTTTGGGGTAAAACTGTCAAACACCTTTATTCTACCCATTCATTCTTACACGATTAAATTAAGAAAGGCCTGTCAGCAAAGGCCTTTGCAGCAAAGCATGAGAAAACCAAAGGCAATCACTGGAAGGCCATGTCTGTTGGTTGAGGTACTACTTCTTTCTCCTGGTGCATGGTGTCTCCCTTGCAGAGTCAGCGTGAAGAGGCTTATGAACTAGTCACAGGAGCTAGTCATGCCTTCTTCTTTCCTCCTGCCTTGGCTTCTCGTCATAGATTTTACCAAATCCAACATGGTTCTGTTGTCTCTACAATGTCTTCTCTGATGAGTAAAACTCACATTAATCTCATCATCAAGACTTGGAAATAATGAAATATTACTCAGCTCAAGCGAAATGAAGTCCTAATATATTCAACAATGTGGACAAACCTTTAATACATCGTGCTGAGTGAAATGTCTGCTGCAAAAAGATAAAACATTTTTTGGTTCTATTTATAAGATATATAGAGAGTAGGGAAGTGTAGAGATACTAAAGTTTATTAGTGTGGACTATAGGTGGAATGGAGCGCTAGTGGTGTAGAGGCTATGTGTTAGGTTGTGGTCTAAATGGTCAGCCGTTTGAAACTACCAGCAACTCCATGGGACAAAGACTGGGTCTTCTACTCCCATCAATAGTTACAGTCTTGGAAACCCACAGTGGATCACTATGAATCACTGCCATTGACTTAATGGTAGTGAGTGAGACTCTGTTGGGAAAGGACTTTGAGTGGGACAGTGGTCCAAACATTGAGCTGTTAACTGCGTGTATGGTAGTTAAAACTCAACAACCACATGGTGAGAGAAAGATGAGTGTTTTAGAAATGCAAGGAGCAGCTCTACTCTGTCCAATTGCTTAGTAGCAAAGATGGCAAGACTTCATATCACTTATTTTGCACATGTTATTAGGAGGGACTAGTCTTTGGAAAAGCACATCATGCATTGCCTGGTAAATCTGTGAAAGAAGAGGAAGACCCTCAATGGGCAAAAATGGGTTCAAATATAATCATTGTGAGAATGGAGCAAGACTAGGTAGTGTTTGAGTCTACACAATGTCAGTGGGTTTGGTTGCATACAATGGGTAGATAACAGAAACAGAAAAAGAGAGGCTAGGACACTGATTTCTCTTAAAGGAGATGGAAAAAAATGTGGAAATATATTATGGTGTCACAAAACCAAATTCACTACCACAGGGTCAATTCTGACTACCAGTGACCTTATAGGACAGAGTAGAACTGTCTCTTTGGGTTTCGGGAACTTTAAATATTTACAGGAGTAGACAGCCTCATCTGTCTCTCTAAGAGCCACTGTTGGGTTCAAGCCACCCATCCTGTGATTAGCAGCTCAATTCATAGCCCGTTACAACATGAGTGGTTGAAAAATATGAGAAACATACTTAAAGTCACTGAGCTGTCATGTGCATAATGTTGACATTATAGTTGTTTTATTACAAATGTATTCACACTATGAAATAATATTGAATAATTGTTCTCCAACATTTATTTATTATTTAAAAAAATTAAATAAAATTATTTTTACTTATTTATTTTTAATTAATTTTCACTTAAAAAGTTTTAAAAATAGTTGATTGGTAATTCTAGTGCTGACAGCCAACCAAAACTTGGGATTCTAGTTTTGATATGTGCCTGCCGGACACTATACCGGGATTACAATTTCTGCATTGACAACATGGAAAACTCCTTGAAGGTTTACCATATTCTTCAACAGTGACAAAATCTGGTTCTTTTTGCATTAAAGACATTTAATTTCATGTAATGAATATGTGTTGTCTTGAACTATATTTTAATTTAAACTATTAGTGATTCTGAAATTGTGATGGCCTTTGAAAAGAAAATGTGAATATTTCCCACCTAGGTGCTGAGTCTTCTAATCCAGTTTGACATTAATTTGTTTAGAGGGAGAGGCGGATAAAGCAGAGTTCCAAATGTATACTGTAGTTGCTCAATTTGCCTATGATAAATTTGGCTTTATGTTATCTTCAGAAAAAAATCTGATTCTAGTGTGATTTGCATATCAAGCAATATCTTGATTACATGCATATCTGCAGATGAAGCTCTGTACCCATTAGTATAGTGTAATAAATTCCAATTCATAGTGAACCCATAGGACAGAATAGAACAGTCCTATAAGATATCCACAGGTATAATTCTAATAAAAACAGATAGCAAAATCACTTTCTCCCAGAACCACTGATGGGTTTAAACCCACCAATGAACCTACCTCCTGGTTCACTGCTGAGCACTTAAGCTCTATGTTGCCAGGCTCCCCTAATATTTAGCTAGGAAACTGCCTTTTATCTTACCTAACATGGAAAGGCATTCCTCTTTTTAAAAATTATTATTTAAGGAAATAAAATGAGATCCTTAAGCTGTGCAGTAATAGGGCAGGGTTTTTTTGTGCCATCTGATTTA